ATTATAGTTTTTTCTGTGCATGTTGTGTATTTACGCGTACACATTAGTAAACTTTAACATTATTAAAGATTCTTCTCCAATTTAATAAGAACATGTAAACGCCTTGTAGATGTAAAACAGAATATATATATATATATATATATATATATCAATATTCGCTTTATTTTAAAATTTATTTCGCTCGGATTACATCGCTTCTATATTTACAGAAAACAGAAGTTTCGGCTTGCCAGGACTCCCAGAATTAACGCATTTTAAGAATTCACTGTTCCAAAGAATAACCACTGGGCAAAAGCCTCATTATAATCGGTGTATTACATTTCTTAATTAACTGTTCGGGTAATGCTTATAATTAGGCCGTGAAATTAAGTACCTACTTTAGTCTTAATTTGCTGTATATCCTATTTTCAACAGTTCCTTAAAGTGCAAAATATAGAGAATCAAATATGACTAAAAGTATTCAATTTTATGAACTGTAATCTTATGTAAAAGCAAATACTGCCACGTACATATAGATAAATAAATATTTTTCCTTTTTCTATTAATCTAGACCGAAGTACAGTTCAGAAAGTTCTATATATTTACAAGTAAACGCACATACGAGAAACAATTACATCTTAGATAATATATATATATATATATATATATATTATTTTTTCCATATGTAACAAATTTCACTTATCCCAAAGGCCAATTTCTTTCATTCTTGTTTGAAAATATTTTTCTAAAGCATTAGCGCATCGATAATATTCTGTATCAGGGCTGTTGTATAAACGACAGTTTGTGAAAATTCGTGTCATATCCGCAATAAATAATCTTCTTGTTACGTAATATCGTGCCTTCAACCGATCAGTCATGGTTTTGAGATCTGAAAATCAAAATCAAGTATGCCAGGTTTTCTTTTAATGATCCCACGTGTGCGGTTAGAATGTATATTTTCATTCTACTTACCCATTGGATATTTAATGTGATCGTAATAATCTGGCACATCGTTCTTGTCGACAGGTTTTAAAAATGGCCACGCAGTGCTATGATTTTTCACGCTATTCAACACATTCTTTAAAGCGTTGTATAAAGAATCGGTAATATCCAAGCATGCTTCCATTGGTTCTGGCCCCTGAGTTCCTTTGGCTACCCCTCTCGTCCTCGTTTGAGCGTAACTTTTCCAACCAGTTTCCCGAATACCGGGAATAGATTCCACGGGAATACCTCTGACGCCTTCCTTGAAACACGTTAAACCGGGATGAACCTTTTGGATTTCTTGCTGTCTTTGATGAATCAACTTTTTTATAATCTCTTTCTGTTTCCTTATAACGGCTGTGAACTCGGTGTACACAATTTTAGCGTTTAACTCGCAGTGCATTAATGTGGCACCTTCGTAGTCCTTGATATATCCTTGATGCATCGACCGCGGTATCTTAATATCTTTGCTGAACCCTTGCTTCTTGAAATATCCAATCGCAAATTCGTCAGCGAAAGTGAGGAAATGTAATATATTATTCTTTATGTGATAATCTTTAAGCATGTTCATTAAATGTGTACCATAGCCTTTGACTTGTTCTTGACTCGTAACAGCGCAAAACACTATTTCCGTGAATCCCTGTGTAGGAAACATTCGGAAACAGATACCACCGATCGGCCGACCATCTTTTATTAGAGCCAGTGTTTTATGTTTCCTAAAATCGGCATATTCGTATTTTACATTCCATCGAACTAGCGGGGGAATGTCTTCTTAACATTTGTCATACTTACGGATCGAAAACCAATTGGGATATGTATTCTTTCGGCATTCTAGGCAACTGATGACTGAATACATTGTGCAGTCCAATTAGCCAAAGCATCGTTTGCTTGGACACTGGCTGCGTCAAACTGTTCCCAACAACGTGAAATTCAATAATTTTTCTGCTCTCTTCGATCTTAGCAGTTTCATCTCGCGGAACATTCGGTGGAAAGACAGCATCCGGTCCACACATATAATTGGGATCGTTAATGGTCGCTACAATTTCAGCGACAGTTTCTTCTGGCAAATCTTCGAAAATTTCTTCATTTTTTCTTCTTTTCACGTCTGAACGCCCTTCGGAATGTGACCTTTTCTCATGAATCTTCTTCATGCCGGGACTTATGTTAATTGTCGTATAGTTATCCTTCTCATTCGGAGCAACGGTAACTTTCTCGAATTCGCCGGTTCTTCTTCCCTGATTTGCTTTTGATTCTAATGCGGTTTGCAAATAAGTGGGAGGCACTTGCTTAAAGTCAGGATCCCAGATGGGCGAATTATCAGAATAAATCTCTGCTTCCAGCATTGAGAGAAATCTGAGAGTAAAGAGTAGATAGTTTATAAATTGAAGAATGAAATAACAGAGAAAATACAAAAGGAGAGAAAATTCATATGTACTTAGGAAAATGTGTTAATACTATTACTCTCTTTTCTGGTGCCAGTTTATCTCGTTCGCTATGACATTTATCTAGCAATTGTCTGGAAACTGGTTTAAAGATGGCTTGAACAAACGTTCTACCAAACACTAAGGATGTGTCATAATGGGGCAAAGAGTCACAGAATGCTGGTATATGGCAAAAAACTAACCAACGCGTGTGGTTAATTTTATAAGCAGGAGCATCTTCCACGCTAATTGTACCCCTTCGAGCACTGAGCGGGTCAAAGTTCCAATGGTTCAAACAATGCAGAAACATTTTTGCCATATCGCACATAGCTTGCATGTCCCTTTGCGGCAAATGCCCGTATTTGTACGCTACAAAGTTCATTACTGCTTTTGCTATGCTAGGTCTTTCAAACGGTGGTTGCCCTAACGGACCTTCTATTGTAGGTTTTGTCATAGACTGTATGCATTTCCTTAAGAGTTTGTATAAGTAAAAATACACTTTCTTTGTGTCAGGGTCTTCTTCTTTCTGTAACCCTAAGAAAATATTATCAGCATCGATAACCATACACAATAATTTGTTGATTTCCTCTTCAGACTGATTGGTTAAATGAGAAACATGATTTTCCAAAACATGAGTGCAACTTTTGCATGGATCAAAAAAATTTATAATGGGTTGTTGAGAGTCGGTTTTAGGAGATTTGATTAATAGTTGAGGATTTTTCCAGCCTATGCATTTGCAATCTTCAACTTTACATGCACTGTATGTTGCAATTTTTAAAATCTTTTTCATTTGTGGCAAATTCAACATTTGTTGTTTTCTTTGTTGTATTCTTTGAAGATTATTTTGCCTGCTACTTTGTTCCTGAGGTCTGACATTATTTGGCTCTCTGCTATTTCCAACATGTTGCGATGTACTGGTTACAGACTGATTATTTTCCTCTACAGCCTGTAATGTTGTGTTGCGAGTCGCTTCTTCGGTTGACATACTTTAGCTAGAAAAATTATTAGCACCGATATATAATACTATTAAATTGAGATCCACCTAAAGGATTATAAATAATTTTATCTCACTGAAAGTTTGGTTTTCACGTGAAAAATTTTAAGAAAAACAGAAGTTTATATAAAAGAATATACAGTTTTTATTAAATATATTTTAAAAATACAGTAACGCGTTAAACTTACATCATAAGAAATACACTGTAAACGTCAAATTTACAAGTAAAAATAAAATTACAACAGCTGTCACAATGAAGCTGCAGCGGTGTAATTTTACGATGTACAATTATAAGAAAAATCTACAAAATATAGATTATTTATAAGTTTGTAACATACAATCTTCGATCATTGTTTATATTATTGTATACATGCACAGAAGGTTATGAAACGTGACTAAAACCATCGACGAGAGACAAGATAGAATGGACAACCAATGTCAATTTTTGTCACGCAACTCGATGGTTACATAACTCGGTGGTTAATGCTCCTTTGTCGCTTTCGATGTTACCAACGGAGTATAAGTAAATACGAATAAATTAATGAAAAACACATTTTTCTTTCCTTCGGTATTACACTTTTTCACTACGACGGAATGTCTGTGCCGGTAGAGACGTTGAACACAACATTTCCCGCCTACTGCTTGAAATACCAACGTTGTAAAAAATGCTTGTTGCGACACCACAGTTCCTTCCTTAACGACCGTGAAGGGCGGTCGTGGTAATATCAAGAATGCTTCCATACCGACAGGGGCAAAAGTTGACTTATCGTAAAACTATTAATTTAGGAATGTATTAACTGTTAATACAAGTTAACAAATCAAATGGCACTTAAAATATTATGGTCAGTAAACCTCAAAAGGGATTATCGGTAATGTCGAACACGACGTCAAAATGGTACGAGAGTCCCGAGGACTCTTCGAGGGCTGGACAATTACAATTCTTGTAACATGTAACGTCTGTCTCTGTACGGAGAGATTCAATCTGTGCTGAAACGTATCGGATGGTCTTTTTACGGAAAAAAGTGCCATCTATTCGATACAGATAGGATTAAGCAATCGTTTTCTTTTACATTCGATAACCAAGTTTTAAAGTCGTTTGTTGAGAATTCGATTGACGGTTTAATATTGTATTTTGTTTAAAGTTCATTATGAAATTATACTTCTAATACGCTTTCAAATAGTATTTGCATTATAATACCAACTGATTGCTTAAATTTATAATTCTAATTAAACGTTTGTTTGAAATCGTTCAAATCACAAGTGCGAATCGTCTCGTGCTAAGTTAGCACACCTAACAGACAGTTTTTGAGTTGTGCTTGTTGAGTCTCTAGTAAAAAGTGTTTGTAATTCTTGCTCATTGTACAATATCCAGTATCATTCTTGCTTATCCCATTTCGTTATCTTGTACAAATTTACGAATGTTTTGTATTCGCAAATTTAGAAAAGCACTACGTATAATTATTCGTCTGGAAACGAGGTAACCATATTTTCGGTTGAATTGCTTATTAATCGTTTAAGAAACGGCAGAATAGTAACGGGTAACAACAACGTTTTCAGTTATTTTCACATACGGTGAAAGTTATTTTAAAAGATACGTGCAAAACCGAAAAAATTATGGCCACCTGGGATGGTTCGTATTCTGAACCAGATGATCAGCATTATTATTTGTACTCTGATCAAAATGTTCCTGCTTCCACAACAGGAAGCTGGACGTTTTTTCCTAATAATGTAAATAGTGATTATAGAAGAGAAAATCATGAATTTTATGTACAAAATGATTCTATGTACCAACAAAATTGTCCGAATACTTTGTATCATTCAAATGCAAATGTTATGCCCACTGTCTTGTCTACAAGTAATAGTTATCAGGAGCATTTGAGGAATACCATAGACAACTCTCAGACTCAGACTAACGTGAAACATTTCCCCAAGAATGTTAAACCACAAAATTGCTTTGTACCTACTGTCGATTATTGGAGTAGCGATTATAACACAAACACAAGTAACATTAAGCATAATTATGTAAAAGGTACGAAAGATGTTAGGTCTGTCGTAACAAAAGGGTCAAATTTACATGCTACGGCCCAAGAATTTATACCAAGTAATTCTAAAGTAATCAATAAGAAAGAAGAATTGCAACATATGGATGTTATTTCTTCGAATAACCACATGGATTGTTGTACCAAAGACGCAAAGGTTACAGGAAAAGCACCAAATGTTGATAAGTATCCTATCGATAATTTAAATAAATGTGAACAAAAGCATGAGAGTAAAAAGAATATAAATTATAAGGTTAAAGAGGGGCAACAAGATCAATTTTACAAAAAAAATCGGTATACAAGCTCTTATCATCAGAGAGGCAGAAGTTCTTATAAATTTCAGGGTAATAAATATTATACTAATAAGCATTACTCTGATAAATTGCAACCGGATACACAAGATTTAGTAAATTTAAACGAGGAAGAACCATGCTCAAGCATGAATACAAATTTGTATAAAAGTAGAAAATCATCAACTGAGAATAAAGATAGAAGAAGTGTTGTTACCAAAGACAATAACTTACAGTCTAATGGCATAAAGCAGTCTAATAATCAAGATAAAGAATTTACTTATTACGATTCAGGATCAAAGCCATTATATACTTACCATAAAAATACAAGAAAATATCCGTACAATGCTAGATATAACAAGGAAGATTATAGTTATAGAGAAAGAAGACACAATTATCAGGGGTACAATGAAAGTTGGCAGAATTATGGCTCAGAAGATAAACAGGATAGAAATGAACACACGTGCAATCGTAAAGATTCTAATGAAACTAGACAAGGTTTTAGCGAAGAGGCTACAGTAGGAATAAAGGAAACTAAAGACAGAGGATATAATTATCAGGGACGTAATGGGTTCAGAGAACCTAAGAAAGGAGATAAAACTGAAACATTCAAGGAGAAGGATAGAAACAGAAGTAATACGTTTGATAATAAAGAGAAGGCAAATGAGAATTGGAGGAATAAAAGAGAAATTAATGAAAAGAATAGTATTCAGAAACGAGTACAAAATAAAAAGAGCCCACTTGGTATGTATATAATTTAAATTAAACAAATTATACCATTTTTCAGCTAGCTATATTTATCTCATGGTGTATATATATATATATATCTTATTCTTTAATCCAGATGACGATGCAAGTCAAAGGGAAAGATTGACCGATCAGTTAAACAGGGGACAATTAGAATGTTTAGTATGTTGCGAATCTATCAGACAGAATGATTACATTTGGTCATGTTCTAATTGTTATCATGTTCTACATTTGAAGTGTGTTAAAAAATGGGCAAAATCTTCGCAAGCAGGTAAGTGAAAGTATTATGAATGCGTTAACATTGTATTTGCTTAGAATTATAAATAACTGTATCTTTTTAGATAACGGTTGGAGATGTCCAGCATGTCAGAATGTAAGCTTAACAATACCTGACGATTACTTCTGTTTTTGTGGAAAGACAAAAACCCCTGAATGGAATCGTAGAGACGTTGCACATTCTTGCGGAGAAGTCTGCGGTAGAACGTTATCGAAGAATACTTGTCCCCACAAATGTACTCTTCTGTGTCATCCTGGATCTTGTCCCCAATGCGTAGCAATGGTAACAAGGTATTGCGGCTGTGGTAAAACATCGCAAACAGTACAATGTAGCACACACAAGTTATTGTTGTGCGATGCTACATGCGATAAGGATCTAAATTGCGGCACTCATAAATGTGAAAACAAATGTCATCACGGAGAATGCCCAAGTTGCGAGAAGACAATTGAACAAAGTACGAAATCGATGTACAATAATAACATCTTTGCGTCTAATTTTAATATAATCACCATGCGAAACATGGAATTAATATAAATTTGATTTCAGAGTGTTATTGCGGTAAAAACAAGAGGGAGATAATTTGTCAGAATAATGTTTCGCTTACGTATTCTTGTGGAAATATTTGCGGTAAACTATTAGACTGTGGTAATCACACTTGCGCAAAGTTGTGTCATCTGGATGCCTGTGAACCTTGTAGTTTGAACCCGGAGAAAGTTACAACCTGTTGTTGTGGACAGACACCGTTGACAGAAGAAAGACAAACTTGTTTAGACCCAATTCCAGTTTGCGATAAAATATGTTCTAAAAATCTGAAATGTGGTCAACCTAGTAAGTACTCTTTGAAACTGAAGTAACACTGGTATTTGACGGAATATAAAAAATAAATATATATACATATGTATTTTTCATAGATAATCCTCACACCTGCAAAGCCAAATGTCACGAAGGAGATTGCCCTGTTTGCGATTTGACCACAGATGTTAAGTGTCGTTGCGGAAACATGGATAGAGAAATTGCTTGTAAAGACTTAGTATCGAAAGCCGACGATGCTCGATGTGAAAAACGGTGCACAAAGAAAAGGTCTTGCGGCAAGCATAAGTGTAATCAGTTGTGCTGCATAGAAGTAGAACATATTTGTCCTTTGATGTGTTCTAAAACTTTAAGCTGTGGCAAACATAAATGTGAACAAACTTGTCATAAAGGTATTGTTTTCTATTATAATAGGGCTTAATATTATACAACTTATAATAACGATATATAACTTGTTAATTCGAAATTGTTATTCTCTGTTTAATCATATTTGAGATATATTATGTTCGTATAGGACGGTGTCAACCTTGTTGGCGTAGTAGCTTTGAAGAATTATATTGCGAATGTGGAGCTGCTGTAATATATCCTCCGGTTCCTTGCGGTACTAGGAGACCTATTTGCGACAGACCTTGTTCTCGTCAGCATCCCTGTGGACACGAAGTGTTCCATAATTGCCACAATGAGTCTACGTGTCCCCCTTGTACCGTTCTCACTCAGAGGTGGTGTCATGGTAAACATGAACTTCGTAAAGCTGTGCCGTGTTACGTCGATGAAATTTCATGCGGTTTGCCATGTAATAAACCTATTTCTTGCGGACGGCACAAGTGTATCACTATTTGTCATCCTGGACCATGCGAGAGACCTGGACAACAATGTACTCAGCCGTGTACTACACCGAGAGAAATGTGTGGACATGTCTGCGCTGCCCCGTGTCACGACGGTAAATGTCTAGATACACCGTGCAAGGAAATGGTAAAGGTGAATGTCCGAATTATATTTTCTCGGTAAAGGATATACTCTAATGGTACCGATTTCGATGGTTTTGTTGTATCAAATGTTGTAACAGTTAATATATTCTGTGCAGGTAACATGTCAATGTGGGCATAGAACAACGTCCCGTGCTTGTGCAGAAAATTCTAAAGAATATCAAAGAATAGCGAGTAGCATACTAGCTAGTAAAATGGCTGACATGCAACTAGGTCATTCAGTTAATTTGGAGGAAGTGTTCGGTCAAGGAGCGAAAAAACAGAATCAGTTGAAAACTTTGGAATGTAACGACGAGTGCAGATTAATCGAACGAAATAAAAGATTAGCGTTAGGCTTGCAAATTGTAAACCCGGATTTAAGCGGAAAATTAATGCCTAGATACAGCGATTTCATGAAACAATGGGCTAAGAAAGATCCACATTTTTGTCAGATGGTTCACGAGAAGCTGACTGAATTGGTTCAACTAGCAAAGACTTCGAAACAGAAATCACGTAGTTATTCGTTTGAAAGTATGAATAAAGATAAACGTCATTTCATTCACGAATCTTGTGAGTATTTTGGTTGCGAAAGTCAAGCGTACGATCAAGAGCCTAAGAGAAACGTTGTTGCTACTGCTGTAAAGGACAAGGTGATACTTCTTTTTCATAGTAATATAAAATTTTTCATAATTCCTTATATTTTTTATTTAATTAATTTTGTTACAGTGCTGGTTGCCGAGCTACAGTTTATTAGAAATTGTACAACGAAAAAATGGTCAGAGAAAAGTTCCAGGTCCGATGTTGAACACTTCAAAAGTCGATGGATCCGTAAAGTAAGTGTTCTAGATATGAATTTCTTTAGATTTTTCACAATAACGGAGATTTCGCCGTGTCTCTGTTTATTAATCATTCTGTTTGTTTTCGTTGTTAGGACGATATTATCACTGCCCGCCAAAAAGAATCAAAAAATGGAAACACAGCCGAATATAAAGGTGCCAGAACCTGAAATAGACTACTTTGATTATCAAGGTTAAAATTATTATTGTACATGTAGGATTTGGGACACCGTGGTAGGCCTTAATATTAACAAGAGTTTATTGAACTAAATAATTAACGAATAAAACAAGTATCTACCGTATGTTCACCGAGGACTTGTTTAAACTACCGTATTCTATTCTCGTTTATGCTCTGTTCGCTTATCCTGTGATACCGCCCTACCGCTCAACTTCCATGCACTTAAAGTTCACCCCCAATCGCTCTTTCTTTCTTCCAGATGCATCCCATTCATAGCTTAAAAACTAAGCACAACAGTATATCGTCCGTTGCAGCTAACCTGGCACTCTCGTCCGAGTGGTCAGATTCGTAGGCGCACGCCAATCGGGTCGCGCGACGAACACCGCGAAGAGTCGTTTCCGGACTCTCAATTGGATTTCTCGGAGCGACTGTATCCGGCCCTATGACGTCACGAGTGCCAAGTTCCCAGCAACGGACGGTAGGTATTGTGTCGCAACCGGTGTCGACACACGCCACGTTGTGGATGATCGTCGCCTGTTACGCAACACGTGTTTACTCCCACATACCTACGTGTATCACGTGCAATGTAATGCGCATGATATATGTGATTGTTAATATTATAATTTGGGAGATTGGTGTTAGATGTAATTAATGAAACTCTAGCTTATAAGGAAAAGAAGAGGGGAAATAGAATGATTGAAAAAGAAAGTATCATCAGAATCATGACAAGAAAGGTGTTTATTGATTTGCGACCGTTCACTGTTGTTTACATATTGTTTCTTTCGACATCGGTTTTATTATCTGTTTATTACCAGTTGAATGTTCATTAAATGACAATGTCGTAACGTGAGAAAACAATAAACACACATCCATACAATGCTGTATTATGATATTACAATCATTATCTAGATACATAGTTGATACTAACAACAATACATGTTTTGGAAATGAATAATAGTATACCGACGGAAATGAAATTTAAGCGATTCCCATAAAACTATTATTTTTGGGTAGGCTGATGTTACTTTTAACTAAAACCCAAAATTGTTTACAGTACGACGTGATACTTAACATAATCAAATATGTCGACTTCTTATTTTATCGTATTGCAATTTCAGTATTATCATCTGTATAGTTTAATTATTAATAATTTGTATTTAGGTGTACGATCGCGCGTAGCGTATTGCATTACATAAACATTTTGAAATATATATCTTACAAAATAATGTTTTTGTAAATTGTTTCAAATTTTTTTACGATAGTTGCACTGAACTTTATAAGAATAGCACAGGTATTATAATAATCGGATTTTTGTCAATAAAAATAGTGATTTATTATGCACCATTTTGAACAGTATGTATCAGTTTCATTTAAATGATACCATTTGTTATCGTATGTACATTTAGCTTGTATATAAATATTCATTTATATGAATATAAGACTACTTCACGTGAGTCGATTTTTATAAACATTTAATGTAGGTAACACAAGTATTTGGCACATTGAACATTGACGACATATTACATACTAAGAGTTATTGTAGTTTTAAATAAACAATTAACGAGATCCTTCATGCTTGCATAAGTACTTGTATACATAGTTTCTCTTCTAGCTCTATAGTTTACTTCAACACGAAACAAACTTGACAAATAATGGGAAATTATGGAAGAAAATTATTACTAAAAATATTAACAAAACATAAATTCAAGATACACCTTAATAACAATTGCCCTAAAAGGATTGATGTATACTCTCGAAAAGAATAAATGAACTACTGTATCTTTGCAATAATAAATAATTCAAACTGGCCAGTCTCTTGGTTCATGAAGTAGTATCTTCTTAATCGATACTTGTATAGACATAAAAAGGATCTCCCTATTCTACGAGTAAATTGTGTATCACATATAGAATCACAACACTGTTAAAACTTGCATTTGTAAATAGGTTCATTATATATGAGTTATCAAGAACTTTTGTTAAACATTTAATAGTAGGGCACTTCAATGTTGAACTGGTATTATTACTACTAATTATTAATTGGTGCAGTAGATGTAGAGTAAAAATATCTTACTTGCGAGTGATTTATCTACATAGTGCTACATTGTCTTTTTTTATGTATGTACAGACTTCAGGTTTTTTTCAGTAGGAAATAGTAGTTTTTTCTTTTAAAGATTCGCTACTACTATTACAGTGTGAAAACACTTTTGCTTTAGGTTTAACGTATTGTTCTATATAAGAATTTGGTAAAGAAGTGAGAAATCTAAATTATTATTAAAATAATACTTTTCGAAACTAATCTAAATCTAATTTCAGGAATGGAAATAGTTTTCAATCAAAATATATTCTTTAGAAGAATATCTTTTGTATAAAGCTCCTTTAAAAACATGATACGTATGTATTGTATATATATTTTTATATATGTATATCCTATCAGAGCTAGAACATGTCTTTTTTTTATGGAATAACATGTTGATCTATTGCTATATTC